TCAGTATAGTCTTTATTCCTTAGAAATTTCTAGACAGTCTGACTTTTCTCAGTCTTTTTCCTTTATATTTTTCTGTTAGATTTATTTATAATTGCCCGGAATGCTGTTGGGAAGAAATAATCAATTTTGTGGAAATTCCCCTCAACTTAATTAAATAGAAACCATTCACTATTTAGCTTTCCTTGGTGGGAAAATTTTAAAATGATTTAATTTCCTGCTTTAGAAAATACAATGTGCTAAGTTATACCTAATATTTCTTTAATGGTTAGACATCTTCCAACTGTTTGCAATGATTAACTTCTTTTATATAAAATTTAATGCAAAATCAAGGAACATGAAGATTTCATTAATAAAGACCTTGCAGTATCTGAGTGAGCTAAGTCAAATTTTGCTATCTCTTAAAGTCTGCCTTTCTCACGTTTCAAACAGAAGGATACTAAAACTAATAAAATGTGAAAAATACATTTTGATAATTATCCTAATCAGACATCTGATATTTGGGATATATCTTCATCATTGCTGCTCTACTCTTCATCTGGATGTTCGCGTTGATCATAAATACATCTTTGTCTTTCTCTAGCTCTTACTTTAGCATCACAGTTGTCAAGCTGAATTCATGTCTTAATAAAATGATTATTCTTTAATCATGCAGTTAATTGCCCTTTTTAATGTCTTAGCTGATGTGTTCTGTCTTATTTCTTATCCAAATACCTCGCTTGTGTGTGTGAATTTTGTACAAATTCAGTATGACTTTATAGAAAAGTGATCCTTTTATAAATCCCCCTTCACAATTATAACAGTAGATAAAACAGTCCAGTTTCTCAAATGTAGACAGACCCTTACAAAGATCTTATATCTTCCTTTTACACAGTATCAGTTTTTAAGGGGAGTCTAATCAGACTGTTTCATTCTGCTGTTGCTTCTCTTCCCCTTTGCCTATTAAGCTTCAAATTATTACTCTATTAATTTTACCTGGTGATTGGAAAGAGTGTGATAATGATTTTCATTTCACAGAGAATTAAACACACATAGCTTAATTGACTCCTAGGTACAAACTGCGCACTTTTACATAAGTTACTCCCTCGATTTGATTATTTTGGCAAAAGCAAGTGAAGAACTCTTCACCTGTCTCAGATGTGCATTTAACCATCCATTTACTTAATAACGCTAATCAAAAGCAATCATGATCTCAGCTCACTACTTTTACTTATCCAGATCACGTTGTATGTAGCCAACCTTACATGCTCAGTCATGATACCATGTAACTCAGTTCATAGAAATGCTGTCTTTGTTAAGAGCTAGCATTGCTTTTCTTATCTTTTTGTTCTCTTTAATGTTTTTCTGGTAAATGAGCATACATTTCTACTACATGTTAAAGTGTTAAGTAATATTAGAAAGGTTATGCAACAATATTTCATCTTCATAATCTTTATAGAAAGGATGGCTTGTACTTGACCTGTCCAGTGTTTGAGAGCCAAGATTTGATATAAAGGGTGCTTGGAGCTTACCAGAATTTATCTCCCACACCCAAAGGACACTGAGATTATCATATCATTATTTCATTATTTTGAAACCTGTGTATTTTTTTTTGTATTTTGTTTTAACATAGTTTAAAGAGGCTTATTTTTATTTTTTAATAAAGCATCTTCTCAACTTATCTCTATCCAATAGTCACTACACCTGTGCCTCTTTGCATTCTTTTTTGACGTATTTTACTCCGTATCTCTCAACAAATAATTGTATTGCCACCTCTTGGTTATTCAGTGTTGGGTATTACTTTTGACTTTCCACAATTGAAAATAAGGATTTAGCTTTCTTTTATTACCTTCACCCACCCCTACATACACACATACGTCTGTCTCCCATCCTATATATATATATTAGGGATTAAAATGTTACTTGTTTCCCTATCACAAATTCACTTCTGAACTCTCAGTTTAAATTTAAAATATATGAGTTGTTCTATTAATTTCAATTTCTTGAAGATCTTCTCCTAGAGTCATTTGACCTGCCTGCAGTTAGGCTCGGTTGTTCCTTACATTCAAGCATAGTTCTGATCTCATTGATCCACCTGTACCAATAGGTTTCACCTTTCTCTTGGGCTGGGTCTCCTATTAGCAGGACTGTATTCGATTTTCTCATCTACACCTTCATTTGGGTGGAGCACCTCTTCCAGTAACTTTCTGAGAAACATGCATGGGAGGTAAAGTTTTGAGACCCTGAAAATGCTTTTTTTTACCCTCATAGTTTATTTTAATTTGTCCACGTATTGATTTCTCTCTCACTCTTGCTTGCTCTTCCTCTCTCACTCTCAGCTTAGGATCTCCCTTTGTCTAGAGTGTTAGAAAATTTTGCATAACATACCTTGGTGTGGGTCTATTTGTATACTCCATAGGTCCTTTTAAACTAGAAAATCCTGATTTTCAATTGTGGAAATCTTACATGATTTGTTTAGATGATGGTTTCCTTCCCTCTATTTTCTCAAGTCTCTCTTTCTAGATCTATTATTATTCAGATCTTGGGTTTCCTGAGTTGATACCTTAATTTAATTAACTTTTCCATCTCTGTGTTTTGCCCTACATAATGGGAGATTTCCTAATCTTTACCTTTCAGCTCACCTACTGAGATTTTCATTTATGCAGTCATATTTTTAGAGCTTCTTATTTATTTTATTTTTATAGCAACATGTTTTTGTTTCAGTGATGTAATGTATTTTTATAAGGGAAAAGTATTAATAGTTTATAAGTTTATTTATTTATTTATTTATTTTTATCCTCACCCGAGGACGTTTTTTCATTTTTTGTTCAGATAGAGTGGGAGGGAGTGAAGGAGAGAGAGAGAGAGAGAGAGAGAGAGAGAGAGAGAGAGAAACATCAATGAGAAAGAATATCAATTGGCCGCCAAGTGCACACGCCCTACTGGGGAGCGGGCCCACAACCTGGGCATGTGCCCTGACTGGAAATAAACTGGTGACCTCTTGGTACACGGGTCAATGCTCAACCACTGAGCCACACTGGCCGGGCAATTGTGGCTCCTTTAAAATGTTTCTTACAAAACAGCATCTTATTTCCAGTCATATGAAGATATTTCCTTTCTAATGTAGAACCTTCTATGTAAACATTTAATTTAATAACTTTCCCACCAGAGGGTGAATTCTGTGTATGTTTAGTTTATTCTCCTTATAGGTTGTGCCTGGAACAGGATAGGTATATCCAGTACATATTTTAAGTAGACATATGCATGATAAATTAAATTTTATTATTTTATTTATAACCTCAAAGAGAAGAGGTCTGGTATGGAAATGAGCAGAATATAATATCTTATTTATATCACTGTGTTACTTCAAGGCAATTCAGGACACAATGTTAGTAATACTGAAAACCAGAATTCAACTAATTAGCTTAACATACAGAAAATCAGGAAAAAGCATCACAGATTTTTTTTTTCCCTAAACTTCTCATTCTCTCATGCACCAGTATTTGCAGTTTTTAAAAGTAACCTGCAGCCCTGGCTGGTTTATCTCAGCGGTTAGAGTGTCGGCCTGTGGTCCAGAGAGACTCGGGTTTAGTTCCCACTAAGGTCATGTACCTCGGTTGCAGTTTGTCCCCGGCTCTGGTTGGGCCGTGCAGGTGGCAGCCACTCAATGTGTCCCTTTCACATGGATGTTTCTCTCTCTCTCCCTCTTCCTCACTCTCCCTCCCACTCTATCTGAACAAAAAATGTCCTCGGGTGAGGGAAAAAAAAAATTAACATGCACACTGTACACATCTATTGTGTATATTGCACTTAGGCCTAGAATTTTAATATTTTAGCCTGATAATCTTTTAGATAATATTTGCATTGAAATTTGATTTACTTATAGACCAGCTGGTGGTGTGCTGTGAGAGAGATTTGAAATCAAACGTTGCTCAGGCTAACACTGTGCAGTTACGGTGCATGTATGAGAGCTTTTACCCCAGTGCCTAGAAGCACAGAGTATCAGTTAATGCATGCCTCCTTCTGGGACATCCTTCCTTTGCAAAAGTAGTGGTAGTAAAGAAGGAAAACATGAAAAACTGTGTTACAGAATGAAACATTATCTTGCTATTTAAAATGAAAAAATGTATATAGTTTTAATAATATTACCTAATATTTATCAAGTATCACTATGTAACATATTCTAAACTCTTGACATGAGGTTAGGTGCGTATAATGATGTCCATTTTAAAGGTAAGGGAGTGAGACACGATGAGATTATTTATATAATTATCCAAGGTCAATGAACTAATAAAGAGCAAAGCCTAGTTTTGAACCCAGAAAATTTGCCTCTAGAGATCATGTTTACCATAGTGTTTTCCATCAAAGATGTAGAACCATTGCTACTAATATGGGTAGGCACTTCTGCATGTAAAAGCTGGTGGAGAAGATGTATCTTTTGAAATGTATCTTAATGACAACTAAGTTTTCACCTTCCCACCCAGTTTTTCAGGTTAAATGTTTCCAGTAATTTGTTTAAAAAAATGTGTTATACCTAAAGTAAAGAGGCTTCTAACTAAAGAGACTACTGGAAAGAGAGTTTTAGGGCCCAAATAATCTGGGTTTAAATGCTGGCTTCGTGATTTATTTGCTGTGTGAAGATTACTTAAATTTTTAGTCTTAATTTTCTAATCTGAAAATGGGAATGATACTATTTAGCCTCAGTATCACCATACAGAGCAATCTGTCGAATAGTGTCTCACTGCGCTCCTTGCACTCAAATACAATTATTATAATTTAATGAAAGGATTATAAGAATTTCTATATTCTATATGAGACATATGGTTCTATATATTATCTATAACTATATACTCTCTTATATATAGAAAGTAAAAGTTTTAATCATATTTTATCAAAAACAGAAAAATGCCTGTTTGCTGTTTAAATCTTTCAATATCGTGAACATTTAATGTTTTGTATGATGTCGCATTATTCTTTGAACAAAGGACTTTGGCCGGCTATGCACAGGGGATGAAATGCTTGCTCTTTCTTCTTTCCAGCAGACTTCCTCGACACCATGCTGCTGCGCAGTTCGGGAAAACTAAACGTGGGCACCAGGAAGGAGGATGGTGACAGCACGGCCCCCACGCCGCGCCCGAAGATCTTGCGTTGCAAATGCCACCACCACTGTCCAGAAGACTCGGTCAACAATATTTGCAGGTTGGTCATGTAAATTATTAAAACCTAGTGTTGCCAGAAAGTCATGGCTAAAGAATTGTATGCTGTGTTTCCAAGAGCACGGTTGGGGGAATAGTGCCCAGGCTCCCTGACTCTCAGAGCTGCACCTGCATTTCGAGAAATGAGTTGCATTATCCCTGAAATGGTGCTCTGAGCTCCTCCTTCCTCCAAACATCACACATGCACATACGCATTGAGCACAGGTCCCAGGCGCATTGTCAAGGAGCAAAAACCAATGACTTTCTTTTTTTTTTTTTTATGTTTGCATAAGAGTCATAATTTTACCTTTTTTTTTATTAATTTATTTTTGTTACAGATGTTTCTCCTTTTTCCCCCATTGACACCTTCCTCCCCATCCCCCCACCCCGTACCCGGCTCTGCTGTCCGTGTCCATCGGTTGTGTGTACATGCATTTAAGTTCTGTGGTTTATCTCTTCCCTCCCCCCACCACCCCCTCTTCTGAGGGTGGTCAGTCTGTACCCTACTTCCACGTCTCTGGGTCTACCCTATTCCTCAGACTGTTATGCTCATTATATTCTACAAATAAGTGAGATCATGTGATATTTGTCTTTCTCTGCTTGGCTTGTTTCGTTTAGGATAATACTTTCTAGGTCTCTCCATGTTGACCAATGGCTTTCTTTTAAAAGACCTGATCCCTCCCTATTAATTCAACAGCAAGGAGAATCAAATGTGTGGGGTTTTTTTGTTGTTGTTGTTTTGTTGTATTTTAATCATTTGTCATGCTGCTGGTGTTTGTGTTTTGGAAGGAACACTTAAGCTGCCAGGGTGATTCATAAACTTGACTCCAGGGAGCAGGACAGCGATAGAGCCGCTGTGAGTCTACCGTAGGGGAAACATTGCCGAAGCACTGGAGGACAAACTCCTTAGCAGATAACTGTGTTTGTGTAAATATTTTCTAATATTTGAACCTGGGCCATTTGCCTCTTTCTTCCGTGCATGTCTTTCTGCAGCCACATCCGTGTGCTGGTCACCGGGGCTGCATTTACTTCGGTGCGGACAGCAGTGAGTCGGGAGGCGCAGACGGGGGGATCAGAGTGTGCCCAGGGAGAAGGGGCTGAGTTTAGCGAACAAGTGCAGATCTCAAGCTAAACTGTCAGAGAAACATAGTCTGCCTCCAGAAGGATGATGGACCCAAGTAAGGAGTTGAGCGGCTAGGTTAGACGTCCAGGCAGAGTGTCCGGGCAGCCATTTGGGGGTCTCATTGTCCAGAAAGGAGCATGAAGTTGAATGCTTTGTTCCTTCCTGAGACCATTTTTTATGCTTCCTATGAAGTGGCTCTGATATAGATGTACTAGTCTATCATGAACTATATCACTCCAGAAATATGAATTAACTGAATGACACAGGGAGGAGAGTTGGGTATACTCATAAGTATGTTTCTCATTTAATCAGCAAAACAACCCAGCATGGGAGGAATACTTATTGCTTACCATTGGACTTTAGGGTTTAGTATCCAGAGAAGTCTGGGAGCTTGGCTCTTGTATAATAGAACAAGGTTGGGACCAGAGTCTTGAAAGGTAAAATGATTTGAAAGCTCACACAGTATTTCCAGGGAATAGGAAAAGTACTAGGGATTTTACAAAGTGTCCTGGAGAAAGTTAGCAGGAGGAAGCATATTAGGGGGCTCTCTTACCCTTCTGTTGGTCTGTAGTAATTAAAAATAAATCTGAGTGTGTCATACTTCTGGTGATCATAGGTTCAGGCTTTCTAAAATCATCCCGATTTCAAACATTGTGTCCTGTTTTCCTAGGCTGATCTAGAAGACAGTGTTCAGGCAGGATTAACTGCCAGGTACATGCTCTGTGGAGGGAAGGAGAAGCTTGGCAAGTGCAAAGAAGACTAGTTTTCCTAGAGGACAGGGAGGAGGAGTGTGGAAGGAGTTGAACCTGGAGATGGGGAAGATTACCAGTGGCCTGGTGGGCTGCGTCGCACATCCTGGTCTTATTCCCGAGGGCGTGGGAAGTCCTGGAAGCTCATGTTAAGCAGTGGTGATTGATGTGATTTGATTTGCTGGTTTGAAAATTTTTCTTTTCTGAAGAGCATTGGATGTATTAGAGGGAGACAAAAATGAATTTGAGAACAGCAGTTAGGTAAGGGACATTGAAAAGTGGATTCAGGAGGGACAGTTCACGTGATAGAAAACGGTCTTGGACTAGGTGGTGCTGGTGCTGGAGAGAGAGTTCTGTGATGACTTGGGTGTGGGAGGGGCTCCACAGATCTAAATGTACATCCTTTCAGTGAGGGAGGACAAAGGAGAAGAGTCAAGTTCCATTCTGGACGTGTTGAGTTTAAGGTTTGACACATCCCAGGGGCGATGGCAAAGGGTAGGCGTAGGATGTGGGTGTGGAGCTCAAGGAGGAGGTTGGGGAGAGAGTATGGAATGACTAAAACACTAGTCAATTTTTGCTTTGAAACAAGCTCAAAATCACAGTGACTTACAACTAAAGACTTTTATTTCTTTTTAATTCCTGGGTCTACCAGCAGGCTGCAGCTGTGCTGGGCTGCCCTGGTCTGGGTGTGCTTGGCTTTGGTCTGCTGCTTGAGTGCTGGCCTGCCCCACCTGTCTCTCCATTCTTCTTGCACCAGCAGCTCCCCAGGGCATATTCTTTCTCACCTGAGTATGAGGGAGCAAACATGTAAAGCTTCTGTTTGTGTCATGTTCTGTAACATTTCATTTACCAGTTCAAGTGTCAGAGTCAAGCTCAAAGTCAAGGGGGCTGTGTCTGGGTTGGGGCATGAAGAAGTGAGCGCTGTAATAGAACAGTCCAGTCCACCAGAGTAGGACAGAGCCTTGAGGAGTTTCATACTTGGGTCCAGGAGGCTCTCCCAGGAGACTCAGAATCAGCAGCAAAGCAGTGACGACGGTGTCATGAAGCCAAGTGCACAGAGGGAGGATGCTGTTCGAGGTCGAGTGGGTGAAGATGGAAATACGCAGATCACATGTACTGACCTTGATAACTGCAGTTTAGAAGTATTTAATGTGGAAGTAGAGATGGAAGCCAGATGAGAACAGGTTATGAATTATGTAATTTCAACCTTTCATTTTTGATAGCAAGAAAAAAGAAAACAAAAATACCATAACCACCACACACACACACACACCCACACACACCCACACACCCCCAGGAACGATGCCAGTGGAACCCTTCACAAGGATACCATGCCAGTCAACATGATCAGTTAGCTGTAGACATCAACGGAAAACTAATGTTTATTGAGCTTTTTATAAACACTAGGATGCTTCCATTTGCCTACCTTTAATCATCACAGCATTCCCGTAGAGAACATAACATTATGTGTGTCTTTCAGGTGAGAAACCTGAAGCTCTGGGGGGTTAAGGAACTTTTACTAGGTCATTGTCCATGCTGATATGATGAAAAAAAGTTGTGGCCAAGCACAAAGTCTTGAACCCTTGACCAGCAGCCAACCCCTGACACTGGCTCCCAAAGGAGCGAATATTAACTCTTGCGTAAAATGCACATCTGTTTTGCTAATGGCACACGGGCCAGTTGAGTCTCCTGTGCACTGAGGCCGGTCATGGATGAATCGCAGGGGATGCTTCTGTTCCTGTGCCCTAAGCTCCGGAATAAATCCAGGCCTTTCTGCTCCGTTCCTGTAAACCCACACTCTGCTCTGTGACCTTCCGATCAGTACTTCTCAAGCCGTCTCTGTTGAAAGACAGCTTTCCCCACTAATAAGTTGTGCACTGATACTTTTCTAGAGTACAATAAAAAATGGATTATAGATTACTTAGAAAAATAAATGTAAAAATAGTTGCAAATTATGTGCTCCATTTTTTTTCTATTTTCTTTCATTTAGAGCTAAAGATATTGCTATACAAATTTTAATTTCTGTATTAACCTCCTCACAAACCAGTAACAAGGCATTTGCTGACCTGCAGGGGAACATGCTTTGAGTAATACTGCACTAAATCTGGCATTCCTGGGTTCAACATTTCTAAAGCCAAACTGGGTGCTCTGTAGCTCTCATGCTCATTACCACTCCCACTTTTCCTGGAGAGAATAATCCAAAAAGCGGCCCCAGTTAAGAGTTCATCATACTTAAAAGAGACTCTGAAATCCCACATGATAATTCAGAGAACACGTGCAAAGTTTGGAGGGGGGTTTAAACTCTTCCCGGGTAACATCAATCACTTGACTAGCTAACACCAAGGCCAAAGTCATTCTTGGCTTTGTTTCCTATCAGGTGCAGATGTGTCTGTTTCCAGTATCCATACCATTTCCACTGCCTAATTGCATGCATGTGAGAGGATGTGCAGATATGTCATGCATTAGAGCCTTTTTTAATATCCGTAATTCAGAGTAAGGAGTGAAGCCATTGTCCTATCTCACTTAAATAATATCTGTCTTCCAAATATCTTTCCAGGTGTCCTTTTGCACTGTGAATCTTTCCCATTCCATTTCCAGATTCTGCTCCTGAGACCTTGGACCATCACTGCATGCCTGAACACTGCAAAGTCTCCCCGAATCACTCGTCACATGATTTTCACCATGCCAGTGTTCTGTCACATTTTTCCATCCGAACAAGTAGTCTCAGCCTGGTTTACTTTTCTCCTCTATATAGTCTGGTCCCACTTTACATATTTTTTTGTTTTACTTGATTTGATCTATAATAGTCATTTTTATTCCTATATCATCACCTCTCTCAGGTTCCTCCACTCCCCCACACAAGTGTATTTATTTCTAAAATTTATTTTTTACTCTCTTTTGGAGATAATTTGAAGTCCTTCCTCATTTATCTTATTGGCTTCTGACTAAGAATTGTCCGGCTTTGGCAGCGGTCCGGGCTTGCTGGTGTAACACATCGCATCAGATGTTCGCACGGAGGGTGTGTAAATGACACCAGGCTTCCCACATGAGGAATTTGCTAAGTCTCCAACTGGACTTTGAAGAGTCACAAAGGATAGAAGGAAAAGCTTAGGGACTGTGAGCCTTTTTGCA